ACAAAGAACAAGGACTTCAGCCTATCTGGTGTCAGAAACAGTACCCAGTGAGAATCACCACTTTGTGTGCATTACCAAACAATTCCAGAACAATATATGAACATAGTTTTAAACTCCTGATAAAGGTAAATACAACACTAAATATTTTCTGTTTGTGCCATCGGTTCCAAGAAATAAGATCCTAGTAGGACATTTCCAGATGGGGAGATGAGCGATTACCCCAAGCTCGTGGCCTTTGGGGTAACTTAAAGATAGAGTGACAGACCTCCATATTAAGACCAGTCAGAGGCAGCAAAGGTCCTCTTTGTCTCAGTACCAACACTTGAGCCTATGCCATCTTCTCAGAACAGATGTTCTGATGTTATAGAACAGAAAAAATTTGAGTGCTGGTTCCATATTCCCCATTCAGTGAGAAAAGTATTAATGTCTTGTCACTTGTCATCAGTTGGGAAATACTCAAATGCAGCATTACTTAGTGAACCAATTTAGAATGTAATGGCCTATTTCTATGTATGCCATCAACTAAGCAATTGGCAGGGGAGTCACAATCCCTCAATTCATCACTCTTCGTGAGATAATGTGCCTTTCCTTCCTTCCTCTCTATTCTTACCTTTGTCCTTTTCTCCAATATTTATATTGTACCCATCATGAATGAGGCACTGTGGCAGGGTCCACCTCATATTTATCTGGCTGCCAAATCTGTGTGTTTTTAAAAATTTTTTATTTTTGGAGACAGGGTCTCACTCTTTTGCCCAGGCTGAGTACAGTGGCACTGTCACAGCTCACCGCAGCCTCGACCTGCCAGGCTCAGGTGATTCTCTCACGTCAGCCTCCTGAGTAGCTGGAACTACAGGCATACACGGTTAATATATGGTTAATCAATTAAAATAACCATACCTGGTTACTTTTTTGTATTTTTAGTAGAGGCTGGTCTTGAGTTCCTAGGCTCACGTGATTCACTCATCTCAGCCTCCCACAATGCTAGGATTACAGGTGTGAGCCACCATGCTAGGCCTGCTTATTTTTTAATTACTAAATGTTTTTTTCTTCTAAAATAAAAGAAGAGCACATCCTTTAGAGAAAAATTAAAATTGTAGTACAGTATAAAGAAGTAAATCATAATTGCCCATAGCCAATTTCTAGGAGGCCATTTAAATAATTTATCTTAGATTTGTTCCTGTATTCTCATCTATTTGAGATTTACCTGCTTAAGATTTATATGCATGCAATTTTGTATCCTCGTTTGCTTAACATTGTATCATAAGCAGTTTCAACGTCATTAAAAGTCCATAATAAACATAATTTTAATACCCAAAGTTGGTGATAAATACCTCAGTGCAGGACTCTTATTCTTTATTCCAGATTTTCTTACGATAATTGCTTCTTAGAAGTGGAATTACTGTGGGGGATGGGAAGATATATTTTAGAATGTTCCTTGACACCACTAATGAATTCCTTTCCAGCAGTATAGCAAAAATCACACCACCAGATAAGAGCACTGATTTCATTGCACCCTCACTAGTAATGAAGAAATGTTTATTGATAAGCAATCTTTGTTAATATGACTGGTAAGGGGAAAAATCATATCTTTTAAAAACGTCTGGAGTTGGTATAGTCTGAGACTCCAGATGAATTCTTCTGCCAGCTGGGCAGATTTCAGTGTATCCTGGGATGAGTGACTCCAACTCCACCTGCTGCCACTGTCCTCTTGGAGCTAAAAGATATCTACTTACAGATAATATTGTGAAAACAAAAGAATTTCAGCATAAGAAGGTGGCTGTTGCATATAATCTTCCTGGCACCAAAGAAATCTATTTTAGAAACTTGGAAGGAAAATTGACCTAGAACAAGCTCATCTTGAAGGGGAAGTTGAGAACCTTACTTCATTTGTGTGAGTCCTGGGACCATATGGAGCTGGCTAAAAACGCCACTTGCAAGTACCATGCAGAAAACAGAAATGTCATTTTGGCGGAATATAAGTGTGGACCACTTTTCATAAGACTGTTTTATGAGTCGGATCTTGAGGCATCTGCAACAGAGCTCATAAAAGACGAGCATTTACAAGGGTTCTCAGACTCCACACTGAATTACTATTTTGATGGATATGTTACTTATCAAAGGCAAATATAAAAGTGCTTTGGAAATGTTGACAAAGATGAAAAACCCAGATGTGAAGTTCACCAGGATACCTATGTTCTGTCTTTTGCAGTTGGCTATAAACCGAATAGCTCTGAATTTTTCAAAGTCTGTACTACATAAAGAAAAGAAGCCCTAACCAAAGGATTTCTCTGCAGGAGAGCATCCTGTTTTCTGTGGCATTAGAACCAGGTGGCAAAAGTTATGTTCATTTTTTTCTCACATCATGAACCCAGAAAGCATAAAGTTCACTAATTTAAATATGATAATCCATATCCAGTCAAATATGATAGAGATACTAAAGGCGTTGCAGAAGGAAATGTATCAAGATTCCTGGGAAGACGTGTGTCTTCAGGGTAACTGCTGGCCAAAGTGAGGAAAAAACTGAAAGATGCGCTTGTTTTTGTGGTCAGATTTCATGAGATGTATGGAAAACTGCACATTGCTGTTCAGGTCACCACTTATACTTTGGATGCTCCGCTCTGCAACATCCCCAGAGATGGGAAATCCCACGTGTTGCTATGAAACAACAAGATGGTCAGCTGTTAGACCTCCCAGCCAGTCCTTGTCAGCTGAGTAAACCCTACTTTCAATCCACTTGTGGGTATGAGGGGCCTGCTTCTAGTGAGTTATTGGCTTCCCTAAGAACAGGCATTGCACTTCAGCAGACACTACACTGACACTTGATTTCCCCCCTAAATTCACTGAATGGTGGCATGCTGCTCTCTGAGAAATTATGTGTGCCAATGTGAAGATCTAGATACCAGCACAGAAAGTTCAGCACCCTCAGAAAGCAGGCTTCCCCTGTGCACACTGCTGAAGATTCTTGAAGAAACATGGTCACTGTCTCCAGTCCAGCTTCCAGTAATGCACTGGAACCCAGTAGGCACCATCAGGAATGAATTTGACTACAAGTGTGGTCAACTCTGATTTTCAAGAGAGTAATTACTTGCAAATTATACTCTTGCTGAATTCAGGAGGTCCAAAACCCTGTTCTACCATGTCAGAAAATAGGCCGGGATTTCCTCACTGCTCTGCTTTCATGTATTCTGTAACATGAGTCATCATTTTCCTATCTACAAAATAATAGTGCTTATGTGTATTTTGATATAGATTTTAAATCTTTATTCAAGGTTTAGTAGGGTAAAATGTTCTTAAAAATAAAATCTGGATTTTAAGTTACTGAGATTGAATCTTAAAAAATTGCAAGTAAAACTATAGGTCACTTAAAAATTCTCTAAGATAAAAGTTGTATAAATACACTGGAGCCTGCTCTTCATTAACTCAATTAATAAAAGGGAAATAGCTTAAATCACACCTAAAGTTGCTATATCAGAGTTCTTGGTTGCAACACTGAAATCATTTCTGGCTGACTTAATCAGAAGATAAATATATTGCAAAGTCATTAAGTAGCATAACAAAGAGACAGGAAGTTTGGCAAATCAAGCTTCTCACACAGGCAGGGAAGCTTAGCAGCTGAAATTAAAACAGGTGGGTCATTACACCATTCAAACAGCCCACTTAGGACACCACTGGCATTGCCACAGTGTCACCTCTGGCACTACTACTATCACTGAACACAAAACCCACTTCACAGATAATGGAGGTATTTCTAAAATATTTCTTCTTTAAACCATAGTCCAGATTCACATAACTGTACAGGAGTCTCCGAGGCTGACACTGGGTCACAAAATGGTGAGTGTTGGGCCATATTGGCTTTTATAAGAATTTGGATGCTAGATAGCAAGACCATGATCAATGACCATCCTAAATATGTATGTAGAATTTTTTGTTTCATGATGCTTTTTAGAAATCTGGTTAACCTTAATTATCACTGAATTTTAAATTGTCCAGTAGGTCATAAGATTATCTGGTCCAATACTGTAAACTCAAATGCCTACCATATTCTCAAATGTCAGTGAGGTGGGGGTGTATGGGAGCAGTGGGGGCTGTGGAAAACTGAAGAGTGTCTTCACAGTCTAAAGGGGATCCCCGCTATTCAACTCCAGCTGATGCTGCTAGAACTCGCCATGGACCAAATGTTGTCTGATGTTACAATTTTACAGAAAATGTGAAAAGTCTGAATTTCTGTGAAATTTCCTAACCTCGAAATTCACAACCAATTTCAAAATAAGAAAAACAACACTATTGCTTCTTAAAAATCAAGGCTGCAGGCTGACTCCAACAATCAAACCTCCTCATTTAAAAAAAAAAAAAAAAAAAAAAAAAAAAACAATGCAGGGAGATGAGGCCTAAGAAGGTGAAATGCCTAAGACCAAATAACTCAGTTGGTGGCTGAGCCAGGGCTAGAATTTTGGTTTCCAGAGGAAAAGCTATCTAAGAAAAGCCAGTGTTCCCCCACCCGACTCTGCAGTCATTTCTCTCACTTGGAAGTCAGCTCCCAACCAAGCTCAAGAAAACGACTCTATTTCAACCAGCAGCAACAGTCTTCATAAAATGTTTATACATTAATAGAACCTGTCGAGCCAATAGAAACAGCTTTCAGTGTTGGATCAGAGTTTAAATTTTAGCTTCTACTGCTTTCTAGGTGAGTAACCCGAGATAAATTATGTTACTTCTCTGTCTCTTGTTCATGGAAAAAACAAAAACAAAAAGCGAGTCTTTTTTATAAATAGGGTTGTAGCAGATGGAATAAGAATTCGTGTACCGACTACCTGACACAGAGCCAGAACCGTAGTAAGAACACCGCCTGTGATAGTAATCTAATAACATCCAGGAGGTATCCTAATAGTTCGTATTTTCCAGGTACACATAGATTGGGGATGGGGAGAAGAGCTAAGGTGCTTCACGGTGGTCGTAGCCGGTTATGGATAAATATCAAAAAAGGAATTCCTAATATGAGTTAGAAGTGGGATTTTCACTAAAACCCTATTCTTCCCTAGACTCCAGTGACAGTTTAACGGTCAAAACCAGCTGCATCGAGGCTTGTGTACTGTGCAGTCTTCAAAGGCACCACTCTTGTCCATCTCGGTGAAATTGATGGTGGAGCAAAACGGAGTTTAGGTGGTTCCGGGCTGGGGAGGAGGCGTGCAGGGTTTCCGAAGCGAAAGTCGCACCTAACCGCTTCACTCTCGCTCTAGGCCCTCCGCAGGGACGCTGCTTCCACCTGCGAGCTTTTTCTGCAGACTGCAGGAAGCCGCCGCCGCCACGGAGGAGGGGGCGGAGGCAGAGGCGGAGGCGGCACCCAGGGGCCGGGGCAGGGGAGGCCGGGACCATCGCAGTGACAATTTCTTTCCCTGCAGCGGCGGCAGCAGGGACGGCTGCTGCAGGCTCGGGGTCGGCCGGCCTGCGCGTGGGTTTGCGAGGACGCTGTTCGTCCCCTGCGCTTGGGTGTCCGACAACGAGGAGGAGGAGGAGAGCGACGCACAGAGCCCGCGCGAGTGGAACCAGCAAAGCTCCACCGGTCGGCAGAGGAGAAGGGGGAGGAGGCACGGCCGAGGCCAGCGAGCGGGCGCCTCCTCGCCGGGTGCCGGTATCACCCCGCTGCAGCGCCTTCCAGCAAAAGCCACCGCGGCCCGGGTTGCAGCGGCCAGACGGATGCCAAGGCCACACGGCAGGAGCGGGGGCCGCAGTCGCCGTCCCACGCGGGCTGCGGACATCGAGGGTTGCTGGTGAGTAGCTGCGTGCGCGCGAGGGAGAGCGCGCCCTGGCCGGGGAAGTGCGCACAGCGGGTGCGTGTGCCCCGTGGCCTGGCGCGCGCCGGCCCTCCTTCCGCTGGCGGTGTCCGGTCCCGGGCTGGCTCTGGGGAGGGAAATGCACTTTGGCGGCTGTTCGCTTCCTTCCTGCCAGTCCTGCAATCGGCCGTCTCCGCCGGTGCCGCCTGCGTGCGCCCCTCCGCGGGCCCTCGGGGTTAGTTTCACCTTGATAGGGAGGCAGGAAGCCCTGGCTCCCGGCGGCGGGGCGGGACTCTGGCCTTGACCTGTACGTGGGTGCGCGTGTGTTTCTGATTCAGCCGTGGGTTGCAGCCTTGAAGATGATGTCGACCTTGAGAGACCCCCGCGCTGTCTCTAGCGGCGCGGTGTGGAGGAGGGAGAGGCGAGGGTTAGAAAAACGGACCTTTACCCCGGCCGAGCAGGTGCCATGCCTTTCCAGATGATGTTACTTTTATGCCGTTGATGAGCGACTAAGACGTTGCCCCTCACCTGAATAACTTAAAAGCTTCACCGAAAGCCCCCCAGTGACATGCACAAAGAAATTGAATATCTCTAAAACGTGTTTTGTTTCAGAACTTTCCCTAAAACAACCCACGCTGCCAATACCCACCAGAGCCTAAGGTGCCATAATTGCTGAAGTTTAAAAGAAAATTTGTATAAGGAATAAGTAATTCAGGAAATGGAGCCCGATCTAGAGGTCTGAAAAAACAAAATTTTCAAGTGCCTGGGAATTGGGGTGGGGTGGCTTGCTTTCTGAAAATCAGTGTTCGGTAATAAGTAAAGAAGACAGCTTTCAGAGTAAGCCCCAGTGAGCACACTGCTTTCCAAACATCCTGCTCATTACTGAGAATAACATGAAGTCCTGGATTTTAAGGTATTTCCAAAGACATAATGGATATCACTAGGTTGCTGGTTTATGGTCTCATGATTGAAGGCTCTGTCAAGGTGAATAAGGTAGATTTGTTCCAGCAGATAAATTACACCTGAATGTTTGATTGGCCGTTTCAATTTTTTTGAGGGTAGTTTCTGACGGTTGTTTTACACAGAAATTAAGCCACCATGTTTTGTTTTTTTCCCATCCTTGTTTCCACTAGCAATTTTGTATTTTCAGGATGGATGCTACATTACACTTCAAAAATATACTCTGCCACTGGATTATAGTGGGCATTGTGTAGCTACACTATACATATCTTTATTTTTAATACAAGTTAATGTTGTTGAGCAGTAGGCTCTTTTTGTTTACCATTTGCATCTTGAGAGCTTCTTCATTCAAAGGCGTAAAATGTTACCGGAATCTACCTGGAAAATGAATTGGCTGCTTGTTTTTTGTTCAGGCATGCGTACAGCAAATTGCCACCAAGAATCTGCTTTTGAATACACTTTAGCTGTAATGTATCTAACAACTGGTTCTTGGGAATTTCAAGAAGAAACTTATTTTCTTATCCCCACATGTAAAGTAAGCACCAAAATTTAAATTATAAGGCAGATAACCTAAATCCTTTAGGCCTATCTCAACCTTCAAGGCCTGTTTGTTAGTACTCTTTTCCTGTTTCATAGGATTCTTATGGTGTGGGAGGTTTGGAGGGAGTAGTGAGGGACCTGTGTCCTGAGGATGTCCTCAGCAAAGAGATTTGCTTCTGGAGAGGAGGGTGTCTTTGGGGTTCATTGCTAAGACAGACTGATAAAAATAGTGATAAAGAATTGTTAATAATAGTTCCCCCTTCTTACTTTCAGCACATAGGACTTAATTAACACCATTTGATCATTTCCTTCCTTTAAACCCTTCCCAGCTGTAAGAATTTACAGCTACAATCCAAGAAATGAGATTGCATTTTAAAAGAAAAGAAGGCTGATAATTCTTGCCCAAAACATGAGAAGTAGAAGGAATGTGAGAGAAAATAATGTAGATTCTGCCCAGGAAGTGCTAGGTGCTTTCCTGGTGGGCACATTTACCAATCAGAGACATTTTAATTAATCTACTGGATTTGTGATTCTAATACTAACATCTTTTTCTTGACCTTTTGAAAGATTTATAGATGGCTTCAACTGAAACTACAGGAAATGACTCATGGTTACTGCTGAAGATATTAGAGCCAGCTTTCCATTCCTTAGGGTTGACGCATAGCAGCTGTTTGATAATATTTGTTAAATAAATGACAAATATTAGAATGTCTTCCTAACCAAACTACATCACCTCTTCTGCTATTGATTGTTTTAATCATAACCTTATATGAATCACCAAACATTTCATCAAATTGAATCCCAGTTCATATAATCAACTAGGAAGGCCAACATCATCAATTGAAGAAACAATAACAAAAACAAAACGCTACTCTAAAAACAAAAGCAAACGAAAAAATACTATTGGTACCTGTTGACTTGCTTATTCCAGCTATCTGAACATGTGAACTGTCCAACTGAACGTGTGAATGTACATTCAGAAATCCTGAGTTGACATCAGAATGTTCAACTCGGGAATGATCTGGATGTAGCTACATCTGGATGTGGCTTTTGTCAGAAATTATTTGCATTTCTAAGCAAATCAGATTAACTTCTAGTACAATCTTGCATCTCTGCATGCCAAGTGGACAGGCCAATTTAACATTTGGCATATTGCTGAGTCTTCACATATTGTTTGATTTTCTTTCTAACTTTTAAATTAAATCCATGTTATTTTTGTCCATTGATATGGTTGGTTTAGAGACAGTAGATCAGACTGGTGGTTACTTAGTAACTTGTGTTTATTAAAAGCAGCCCCTTGATATAAGCACCAATTATTCTTACATTTTGATTTGCTCTAGTTAACATTTCAAGGTACTCTTTTGGAAATGGGTGCATTGTTTGGTCTTGAATATCAAGGATGTTATAACTCCTTTTTGTTTTGTTTTGTTTTGTTTTACTTCTGACTTTCCATCTCCCATCATTAGAAAGTCTCCCAGTTTTCAGGTTTCAGTTTCAGGATGAAAGATTAGAAAGCTAATTGAAATTTAGCTGGATATTAACCTTCTAGTGGATAATAATAATGCAAATTTATCCATGAAATTCTTCCCTTTGTGTCCTTCTCTGATCAAGCTTGTTTCATTCTGAATAAAAGTAAAATGAGATTCTCAAAAATTTTTTAATTGGGCTATGTCCAAAGATAAATACATAAAAGTAAAATATTATGTAAAATAAAAAACTGCTTATCACTGTTTTGAAGTAGCACAATCAATGCTATTCTCTGCATAATGAAATGTGGCCATTTCTACCAAGTATTTATTTGATAAGTAGGCACTTCAGCTCTTGAACAGGAGTTAAAAGCAGGTGTCCACCATGTCTGATTAAGGCCCTTGAAAGCTAGGAGTGGAATTTTGATTTCATGCGGTACCCAATTGTAGGTTCCTTGAAAGGGAGCAAATGAGGAAAGTACCTTGTCAGAAGAGCACTTTGGCAATTGGGTGGAGAGTGGATTAGTTTTAGGGAGTGGAATTGATAATCCAGTGTCTTATGGCAGGCAGTCTGACCTCAGATCCCAGGGACATTGAGATGGATAAAAGAAAACCTCAGGTAGATGTCAGGATTCTTTGTTTTATGTGAAACAGAGATTGAAAACCTGTGGCACAAGTGTGATCATTAATACCTTCCACACCCACAGACACATCAACAGTGAATTACAGCATTCTTTCCTGCTGAAGCCTGGTATAACCTCAGAATCTTGCAAACATTTGACAAATATTTATTAATAACTATTAGTTATTGAAGATGTGCTATATGCCAGGCACTGTACTAAGCCTTAACACAAGTTTATCTCAATGATGATGGGGTGGTTGGAAACGGGATTTTTTTTTTTTCACTAGTCACATGTCCTTGGACAAGTTACTAACTTCTCTGAGTCTCAGTTTCCTTGCTTTTCAATTGAGACATTAGTTTCTATCTCAGAAGGTTTTAAGGAGAAAGAAATAAATAGTGTAAATGCAAAGTGTTTAGAACAATGTCTGGCATCAAATTAAGCGCTATATGTGTTTGTTGTTATTCTCGTTATTACTCTTTAAACAACCTTATGCCTAAGTACCATTTTGCAGATAAAAAAATTGATGTACAGGCCGGGCGCGGTGGCTCAAGCCTGTAATCCCAGCACTTTGGGAGGCCGAGGCGGGTGGATCACGAGGTCAAGAGATCGAGACCATCCTGGTCAACACGGTGAAACCCCGTCTCTACTAAAACTACAAAAAATTAGCTGGGCGTGGTGGCGCGTGCCTGTAATCCCAGCTACTCAGGAGGCTGAGGCAGGAGAATTGCCTGAACCCAGGAGGCGGAGGTTGCGGTGAGCCGAGATCGCACCATTGCACTCCAGCCTGGGTAACAAGAGCGAAACTCCGTCTCAAAAAAAAAAAAAATTGATGTACAAAGGAGCTTTGTGAATTGCTCAGCATCGTAGGCTGGCAAATGATACAGCTGGCTGTCAAACCCAGACAATATGACCCCAACACCTCCTTTCCTAACTTGTATGGATCCTTGTCACCTATCCTGCATGCCAGGTGTTGGGGAATACTGATTGGAGCAAGAAAAGTAGGGGTTTGCCCTCATGGAACTTCAGTGTTCCAATCCTCTCTGGTGTAGGTCTGCTGTCTGCAATGTAAAATTAGTAGACAGATTATTACTGTTTTACCTCGATGTTTTGGTATTTTGTAAGTAATGTTTTTATTAAGTTCTTTATTAAGAATTGTTCCAATTTGTGTTTTCATATGTGCTTTTAAAAATGGGTTATTTTCTGTTTCTTTGCCTAAGACAGTTGGCATATGCAATACTTATGTCTCTCCTTATACTCTGGCTTCTTATGCCTCCCTCATATAATGTATCAGATTCTGGGGCAGGTTTTAGTATTCTGAAAAACTTCTTTGCCATCCACTTCCCCCCACACTCTCAGTCTTAGATATCCCATTTGTAAGCTGTGGTGGAGTGATAATGACATTTCTAAC